TTTCTCCATAGATCTTATGCTTGTATTCCTGCTAAGAAATATCCATCTGATATTTTCAAAAATACCTTGGCATACTAAATATTATTATTTAGAATGATATTCAGATAAAAATTAGGATTATACCTATATGCCCAGTCAAGACTGCAGATCATCTTCACTATGCACTTTACAGAGACAAGCTCTTTAGATTAATCTAAATCTAACATTATTATTATTCTACATTTTTGGCCAGCCTGTAGAAAGATTGAGCTTGTTATAACTTGGTTTTCTATTTTCAAGGCCAGGTTGGATGGGGCTTTAGGCATCTCAGTCTAGTGGAATGTGGCCCTGCAAGTGGCAGGGAGGTTGGAACCAGATGATCCCTTCCAACACAAACCATTCTATGATTCTATGATTTTTATGCCATTTAAATCCTGAATTTTACTGAAATCAATGATGCTGCCATGTTGTAAAGAAAGTAAGAGTCCAGAAACTAAGTTTCATGAAGAGGGATGTGCCCAGGTCATGCTACAAGATATGGTAATTTGCTCTTTCTCAAAATGACTTTCCACTGACTTGCCATTGAACTCCAACGCATTCTGCACATGCAAGAGATGTAATCCGCTTACTCTCTTTATTCTAGGTCACACTTGAATGAGTCCAATAGATCACTCATCTGAATGAACCATGAAATTAGCTCATCATGTAGTTACAGTGTCTGTCTAAAGGGCTGTAATCCTAATATCATTGTATTTGAGATCTTGGGATAGACTGAGATGATGTTTAACAATGGGACGCTCAGGACTATTTCGCGCCTTAACTACCTAAATTATTAATAAAAAAAGAACACATGTAGAAAAGTACGATTATAAATAGATGTTATATAAAAAACATTAGGATATTCATATATACTAATTTTATAGCCAAATATAAATTCAACTCTCAATATAACAAGTCCATTAATCGTATATAGACAAATTTCCTATTTTCCTTGACCAAGAAAGAAAGATTTAGTCTGCAATTAATTAATATACATAAAATGTCTCACTTCCTTAGCTTAAACTCACAGAGTACAGAGAAATAGATTCAGGTACAGCACATGGAATTGTGTCATCCCACATGATGAAGAGATACATTTTTCCCATTCCTGGTGCTATTTTTCAAGTCATTTATTTCTCTGCTCCTTGGAAATCTGGATCAGGCAATACTGAATACCTCCCAATACTGTTAATAGGGAATATATATAGATAATGTATATGTCTAGACTACCTTAGAATACAATACAACGCAGAAGAATCTAGAGCACACTTGCTGCTTTCCATTGTGGCTGGCACTTGGAGTCAAAACCTAAATGCACTAATTATGTTAGTCACTTTGACATAGCTATCAAGGTCAAAATAAATGCAAACGGATCATTTTCACTAATTTAATGTTAGTTCTCATTTACCGTATGATTATAAAACTTTCAAAGTGCTCTTTTGGTCCAAACCAACATCCATCAAATGCTGCTAAAGAATAAATCACACAGCTTAACTCTGCTTCCAAAACTGCCTCGTTAGGAACACTTATCACCAAATCAGATGGAAGAAAGGGACAATCATGATGAAACAGGAAAAAAAAAAAGGAAAGACATCAGAAAATATCACTGTTCTTATGCTGCAAATACATATTAACCATCTTAAGTAGTACCAAAAGAATGCATTTTTTGCTGTTGTTTTTTAAAAATAAATTATTCTCCTGTATTTGCTTCTTAAACAGAAATAAAATCTAAATTCTGTGTATGAGACTGAGTTATTCAGTAGCAAAAGAAAAAGCTTGTACTTACATCAGGTTTTCAATTTTAGAAGTAACACTGGTATTTTGAAGTGTTCTACAAAACAGAAGTTCTTCACATGATCTTCAGAAATCCTGTCATTTTGGAAACTGGTAACTAAAACTGGTAACTAAAACTGATGAGATTCATCTCAGTTCCACCAAGATTCAATGGGTCAAAACCAGCAAGATTCAGTGAAACAACATATAAAATTTGAATCACATCAGTACAATTTGACAATAGCAGGATTCGAGTGGAACACAAAATCATTTTGAACTTTTGAATATATATCAACGCAGGTCAACTTTTTCTCAAAGCTGAAAGAATGAAGCTGGCAGGAGTCCTACCAGGATGAAGGTGGTGAGGCCCTGGCACAGGTTGCCCAGAGAATCTGTGGCTGTCCCATCCCTGGCAGTGTTCAAGGCCACGTTGGACAGGGCTTGGAGCAACCTGCTCTAGTGGAAAGTGTTCCTACTTCTGTAAAAAATCATTTTCTGTAAAAAAATATGTACCTAATCTGAAGGGGGCCTACAAGGATTCCAGAGAGAGACTCTTTATCAGGGACTGTAGCAACAAGAAAAGGGGTAATGTGTTCAAACTGAAACAGGGGAAGTTCAGGTTGGATATAAGGAAGAAGTTCTTTACAGTGGGGGTGGTGAGGCACTGGAACAGGTTGCCAAAAGAAGTGATAAATGCTCCATCCCTGGCAGTGTCCAAGTCCAGGTTGGACAGAGCCTTGGGCGACATGGTCTGGGGTGAGGCATCCCTGCCCTTGACAGGTGGGTTGAAACTAGGTGATCTTAAGGTCCTTTCCAGCCCTAACTATTCTATGATTCTAACAAAACTAATTTCTTTAACTAACAGTCTTGAAATATTTATCTGTTCACTTAGAACAACTTACACTAATTCTCAGATGGTAAAATAGCTTGTTCTTGGCTAAGCAATCACCAGCTCACTACAACTGCATGTAGGAAACACACCTCAATTCTTCTGGGAAAGCTATTTAGACAAGGAAGCAAAGCATACCAGGACAATAACACAGTAAGTGTAATCTTAGATTCATACCCAGTTAAACACTGGATGCTGAGTACAAAATGACTTTCGGTGTATTCAGGAATAGATCCTTCCTGAAATACTGAGATACCATTACAATTCCCAGTCAAGTGGATTCTTAGCCATAATTGTGTATTTTTTTGCATTGGCTAAACTGTCACGAAAGCCCTTTGTTTCTCTCCCCTGAGGACACTGAAAAACTGAGAAAAGATGGGCAGATGGGTTACAATCAAAATATATGCCAATCCATTACACAAAATTAACCTGTCCTTCAAAAGCTTACTTCCATGTATATTCACACAGTGCATAACTCCAATGACACAGTTCTCTATACAGATATATAAGCACACCTTGGAGTTTTCATGCAGTAACGATGACCACTCTGTCTTAATTTGGTAGAAATGTAGATGGAACACTGAGTAACCTCCTGTAATCTACATTATAAATGACTTCCACAACAGAAGTATCACATCAGTGATGTAGAGGTCTGGTGCATGTGTCTAACTAATATGGCGGGCCTAAATACATACTCTGTGATATCTCTCAAAATGCTTTTCCTGGACTTTGTCGTTAAAAAAGGAATTGTATCAGAGTTCTAAAACATCTGAACAACCTAGAAGATGACCCAAGATTGCTTGTCTCCTTCTTGGCTTGGTTAGAGGGAACAAGATCTGCTCATCTCATCAACCTCACTGACAGCAGGTAATGTCAAAAAAAGAAGTTGTTCAGTTAGTTGTAGTGTTTGGGAAGTCTGCAAGATTGCAGGACATAAAAAACCCCAACCCAAAACAGAGTATTTTATTATACCTTGTAGTTGCAGAGAAATTTCAAACTTTGGTTAATAATTAACTAAACCACTTTTACCGAGGTCAGGGAAGGAAGACTTACCTTTCTGTAACTGTTTATGTGAGCTCTTGACTTGTTTATAATAAAATTAAATACATTTTCTGCTTTCAGAAGCTATTACCATGTTCTTAGCTACATCTCTTAGTAAACTTCTGCTAAAGACACTTCTCTATTTTGGACTAGGAATTCTATCCTACCCTTTCCATGGTATTTACCTAGCATTTGTGAGTGGAAAAAGAGAGAGGTAAAATTATGTAAAGATAATTCACCACAAATATGTATCAACTACCATTAATTAATCAAATATTTAGAGACTCCTATAAAAGATGTGATCAGTTTTGACACTGGAAATTGACACTAGGAATATTATATCTTCACATATTCTTATATTTGCTTGTTTCTGACTTCTGACATCAATTCCCACTATTTCCTTGATATTTATGGTCTTCATGTACTACTGTAAAATTTTTATGTAGATGAATTTCCTCAAATTCAGAATAATTTTCTTTTCATAAAAACCCTCCAAAAATGGACAACTTTTTCCTAATTTTTAGGAGCTCAGATCTAGTTTGGTGGGCTTTGGTTTTTTTTTCCTATAATGACTTCTTTCCTAATGTAGATATTCTGAGATAAGCAAGGATATATGCCACATACAACATCAGATCAGAAGAAAATGACTACTCCAATTTATGACACTGGAGACAGACTGCTTCCCATTTTTTATCAGCTGAGAAAATTAAATAAAGGATTCGTTTGGCTGCTCTGAACAATGGATTTGCCATTTGCATAGAAAAAATTATGGCAAAACCTCATAACCCATCAGTGTTTTACCACAAGTTCAGTTCTATTACATTTTAGTGGAGGTTCAAAGTTGTCTAAAGAAACCATTCTCTTCTTTCTCCAACCATAAATGTGTCACTTGAGAGTTCAACTTCCAATAGGAGCAGTATCTGACACACAACTAATTTTAGAATATAAAGTGCTCCTCACCATATTGCAATACATATAATTTAAAATAACTGTAAACCTAAACTTTGCAAAAACAGAAAATTCAAGCACTAACAAAAAAGCATAATTTGTAATTGAAAGAAAATAATATTTAAAAGAAAAAAAAACTTTTTTGTCTTTCCAAAAAGAGACAGAAATTACTAAGTTTTATTTCCCAAGAGAATTATGCCACTTTTATAAAGAAAATTACAGTCACCACAAATTGCTCTCAACAATTCCAAAGCTTCTTCATTTGACCACTTGAAAATCAAAGTTCTTTAAGATTATAAATATAACTTTTTATAACTCTGTTATTACGTACTGTGAATGGGGAAAGGGGGCCAATCTTGTGGCCATAGCGTCGAATGGCCTCTCTGATGTGGCTCGGCTGGATGGCATCGCTTTGAGCCTCTATACCACAGGCTGCAGTGCTCTGCAACAGAAAAACACATAAATTGTTACTAAATCAAAAACACACAACAGACCTACAGTGCATAAAGTATGAAAATAAACCCTTATAAAATGGACCAATTTTTTTTTCCCGAGGATACACATCATTGCTGCCACACACTACATTAGAGAAAAAAAGCTATTAACAAATCAAAGAGGACTTTTACATGAACTTTGCTTAAGAGACCCAAAGAACACCATATTTGTCCTCTTAAATCTTTCACCTAGTGCTGCTGTATGTTGCAATTGAAAAGAGCAGAAAATGTTCAAACTAAAATGAAAGGGTCAATTAAGTCATACTGCAGTAACCACAGAAACTATTTCTAAAACATTTCAGGCTCTCATTATGATGTCAAGGGGTGGGTAAAATATTGAACAAGTACCCAAAGTGGAAAGCAATTTGACACCAAAATCATCATTGAGTAATATCGGACTGAAATTTGAAGCTGACACATAGATGTGATATAATGGTGTTAGAGGGATGCAAAAAATATTCTAATTACCACAACCTGGAATGTTTTCAAATTTGAAATTACTTTTTAGATTAAGGATCCTAAATAGGAAAAATAAGAATTCACTGCTACAGGTCCATTGATTTTACAAAAACATCCCCAGGACTTAAAAAGTTACTCTTTTCTCCTTGCTCGTCAAACTGAAATGTCGGGTTAGGCTCCATAGAGATATGGCTGCTTGCCAGAATTCAGATGGCTTATCAGAATGATGGCTGCTTGGTAATAAATTAATGAAAATTATATCAGTGAATGCAGGACGAATGACAAAACTTTAAACTATACATTGAAGTTTAACATATACACATACAGGGTCCCGTCATACATTTATACTATATACTAACATTTTCAAACTTGGGATATTTTTAGACTGAACTTTTTCTTTTCAAGAGTGCTGAGTCCACTGGAGCCTGTGTGTGTACACACAGAATTATTCATAATACGATGGCAGATTCTTGCCTTGCTGATTGACATAAAGGGAATATGAAACTCAAATATTTTCTGCTGGACTGGGTCTTCATGGACTAAGAATAACATTCTTCACCAACTCATTTGTCTCAATGCCTCAGTTATATCTAATATGTACCCAAGCAACTGGAGAAGTAATGGGAACATTTCACTAAAACTGTTCACTTTTTACAATATAATTATTTTAAAACGCGTTAAGTCAGACACTATGAACTTAAAATAAACTCGCAACACTAGTGAAATATAATGTAGCAAAATCTACATCTCCAGTTAAACTCTTGTTCTAGGAATTATACTGGAAATCAGCCACAAAGCCAAAACATAATCAAACATAAAAAAGGAAGAGGAAAAAGCAAAAGTCTTCAGAGAGGTTTTTAGGATTCACTAAAGGCTTTCTAAATGGAGTAAAATAAGTGCAGAGAGAAAGTTGAACATATGAGGAGTATCTACAGCACTGATGACATCAGAAGGTGAAAATATGTATTTTTCTATCTGTCATTGTAAAAATCACTGGTTCAACTCTGTCAAAAATGAATAGTTGTTTTAGGAGAATAATAAACACATGAGAAAATCACAAGTCACACCCCTGCTTTGCAGCAAAGTGAGTACTGCCATGATACATTATTCAGAGCAGTCCTGCAGAGAAGGACTCAAGGGTGTTGATCGATGAGAAACTTAAAATGAGCCGACTTCAGTGTGCGCTCGCAGCCCAGAAACCAACCGTATCCTGGGCTGCATCAAAAGAAGGAAGGTTGAAGGAAGTGATCCTGCCTCTCTGCTCTGCTCTTGTGAGACCCTATTTAGAGTACTCTGTGCAGTTCTGGTGTTTTGAACATAAGAAGGACATGGAGCTGCTGGAGCAAGTCCAGGGGAAGGCCACGAGGATGATAAGGGGACTGGAGCACCTCCCGTATGAAGACAGGCTGCGAAAGTTGGGGCTGTTCAGCCTGGAGAAAAGGCTGCGTGGAGACCTCATAGCAGCCTTCCAATAACTGAAGGGGACCTACAAGGATGCCAGAGAGAGGCTCCTCATCAGGGACTGTAGTGGTAGGACAAGGGGTAATGGGTTTAAACTTAAACAGGGGAAGTTCAGATTAGATTTAAGGAAGAAGTCCTTTGCTGTGAGGGTGATGAGGCACTGAAACAGGTTGCCTAAAGTAAATGCTCCATCCCTGGCAGTGTTCAAGGCGAGGTTAGACTGAGCCTTGGGCAACATGGTCTGGGGTGAGGCATCCCTGCCCATGGCAGGGGGGTTGGAACAAGAAGATCCTAAGGTCCTTTCCAACCCAAACCATTCTACGATTCTATGATACTTTTGCAAAAAAACATGAAGTGACTAACACCATGCTTTCTACCCAGGTTATTTAATCAATTCTGTATCCCTTGTGGTTCTAAGGTACAAATATCCCTCTCAGATAGACTACCAAGGCTCTACAACAGAAGACAGGAATTAGAGTATTTGCATTTCACACTCTGAATATGAGACATCCATATTTTATGCAAAGCAAACAAATATTTAGATTGAATGCAACCAACTGGCAGAAAAATAAAGCAGGTAAGGCAAAGTTGTTATAGGCAAAGAAGCCAGTCACCTAAGGCTGCTGGGAGCAGGTAAATCACAACCACCTCATTGCCTACTTTGCTTATGTTTTGACCCTCAAAACCTATGCTAGCTGCTGCTGTCACAGAAGGGATGATTACTGGGGGATCGTATCTACCACTGGGGCTGTAAATGAGCAGCTCATTTCAGAAGCAGCAGTTGCTACCTCAACAAAATTTGTTTTGCAGGCATTATAGAGAAGCATTAGCCCAGTTCTGATAGAAAAACCACCAAACCACACATCTGGCCTGACAATAACATAGGTAGTTAATATGTGATATAGGTTAAAATTAATATTTAAAATGAGACGTTATTTCCTGAAGAAATGTTAATTTCTTTTTCTATTTCCCCCAACTCCTCCCCCGACTTGTGCACCAAATACCTTTTTTCTTTTCCTTTGTTTGGATTTGGTAGAGTCCTGTCCAATTCCACCATTCCCCAGGGCTCCTGATAGGGCTTTTCCCAGGTGTTGCTGTCCTGCTGATGCTGGGGGTGTGGGTGTAGGAGGTGGTGTGTTTTCAGGAGAGTCAAGACTGGTCTTCACACTTGTAGATTGCCCTAAGAGATGTGGCTATAAAAGCAAGATGTCAAACAGCCATTATAAAACCGACTCACAAAAAAAAAACCCACAACCAACCAAAACCAACTTATTGCCTTCTTAAATTTACACTTGAAAGAGATGTAATACAGAATTCAGTTTGTTCATTCTAGTGGTTACTATAATATCTGTATCATAGCAATGCATGTAATACAGCACTTACTGCAGTTGTCACTGTTGAAAACTTTAATCTCCAAATCTTCAACAGAGAGCACCGTCAATACAGAGAGAAGGGATTTCCACCCAAGAAAAGAGGATTTACATTTAAATATAAAGTTGCTGCTAAGGATTTAACATTTTGAGCTACAATTTAATCTCTTTCTGTCTAAATCCGTAACTTCATAGAATCATAGAATGGTTTGGGTTGGAAGGGACCGTAAGGATCATCTAGTTCCAACTCTCCTGCCATGGACAAGGGACATCTTCCACTAGACCAGATTGCTCAAAGCCCCATCCAACCTGGCTTTGAGCACTTCCAGGGATGTTCATAAACTACATAACAGAAGACTTTATCAATATCAGATTCAATAACATCTACTTTGAAAGCAACAAACTACCAAATACATGTAAAATTAAAACATAAAATGCATTAATGTGTGAAAAAGCAAGATTTACCTCAGTAGAATTGTGATACTGTATGAAGGTGGCGGATATGGCATGACTGAATGGGTCACCTGCTTTGGGAGCCATGTCCTGCTTAACCAGAAGGGCCAAGTCCACCAACTGGAGGGGCAAGAACAGGTTGAAATCGGTTGAGGCCGATTATTCTTAGTGTTCCTCAGTTGAAAACAAAACTTTTCAGAGGTGTATCACCCTCAGAAACCTTTCTTTTCCACTTTTGTAAATATATGGAGTAATCTATCTACCCAAGAGGGCTTGGCTTGGCACTAAGGTAAAATTTGTTTTCCAGGAAATCCTGCTTTTTAATCCAATTGTGCAATGGGGTTGAATGAGCCTCAGCACACTGCCAAAGGTCACATAGCAAACTATGTGGTTTCAGTTTGGACTTGAATAAAGTTCACGCTGGACTCCACTCTCCTCTGTAACCATTATAAAACACTTCTGTTTGTGTATCAGATGGATGAATTCAGTACAGTACACATCTGTCACACTGTGAATTGAAAGACAGACAGGTATCCAGTTACTTTGGTTAGGTGAAGAAATGACTACATGCTTCTGAAGGGGCTTACAACAGTCACCTGTGGCTGAGTACACCCAAGAGTAACTAATTTTGTTTTCTCCATCAGTATACTCTCTTACCTGTGCCACAGTCTCATATGCTAAATATGCCAAAATCTCCATTGCAACTGCATTTGGCTTTATTTCCATACTGCTACAGTCCAACCAGTCACGAAACTTGGATGCTTTCTTTGCTGTCAGTTAAAATCGTAAGGGGAGAAGGAAAAGTTAAAAACAATAAGGCCAAAATAATGCATTCTTGGAGATCATAGAAAATACCACAAATGTGAAACAAGGAGTGTTAATGTGATTTGATTGGCCAAGGAAGGAATTATCAAAATGGAACTAGTAGGGAAA